AGCCTGTTAGTGGGGTTGGACCCAGTCAGAATGCCTTGATTTATCACAGGTAAACAGAATTTGTTCTGAAAGGCAGATTTGAGTTCAGTTCTTTCCAGCACTAGTAGTTGAGTAAAGTCGCAAACATTGAAGAAGTTCTCTGAATTGAAATGCCCGAGGTGTTTTTTTTTGTTGAGAAATGATCAAATAAAAAGATATTTTGAAATATTAGTATGCATAGTTGTTAAGTGATCTGTCACATACTTTTGTTTTCAATTGTATTTAAATATGAAATGAATATAAGCTAAACCATATTTATTTATCAATATTAAAGAATTATAATAATAATATATTTATATTATACGTATTTAATATATATATTTACAAATTACATATTATAATTATTTATATAACATACATTTAAATATATTGTATTATAATTCTATTTTCATTTTGTTATATTTATGTGATAATAAAAAACAACTATTATTTTTGTTGTTATTATTATTATTATTATCTTTCACAAAACTCAACCTGAATGTGTGTGTGTGTGTGTGCACAAAAATAAAATAAAACTATATATATATATGACTACTATATAACTTCTTACATAACATAACATACATTAGAAATACCTTTCAAAATTTCATGCAAAATTAATGGTTTTATTTATTTATTTATTTCAAGTCTGTTTTTGTGATTTATGTTTTATTTATTTTTTAAATTACAAATATTACATTATAATAATATTATTAATATGTCTATCATTTGATTCTGTTTTTTATTTATTTATTTTTATTTACTGTTGCTTAAGATGTAATGTAAACCAACAGGTAAATTCTGGTTCTCTTTAATGGACCCATGAATATTGCAATCTCAGTTTAGACCCATGATTCCTTAGTCATGGACCTCCTACAGAAAGTCTTTGTATTGTTAGTTTTGGCCATTGTGATTGTAATAGCAGAGAGTCCTCAGAGTCGTCCATCAGGCCTGGCAGTGCAGCGGAGCCATTGTCCCAAAGATTTGGGGTTTCTGCCCTGCCCTGCCCGTCACTGTCACACCCACAGGCCAACACCCCAATACTTGTGGGTCATTTGAAACGGTCAAAGATTTGCGAGGAGAGCCAAATTCTTTTATCCAATCTCACCACTTTCCGTGAGTTGACAAGACGATGGCAAAATGATCAAATTGAGAGAGAGAGAGAGAGAGTACGTGAGCCATGCGTCAGGCTCTCAGCTTCTGACATCACCCTTTCCCTTCAGTGACCCATGCAGTCTAAACTCTCTACAAACAGACTCAGCAAGGAAATGACATCACTTGCAGTACGGAGAGTTAGTGTTATCTGAAATCAGAAGAAAGAACAATTTGGCTCAGTAGTAAGCTAAAAGTATTCTTACTAGCAAAGAGCTAAAGCTGAATTTACTGTATTATCGCAACCTTTTAGGGACTGTAAATAATGAATTATCATTCACTCACACTCATGACTTTACAAACTTTTTTTCCTGCAGGACACAAAAAGGATGACTATCATAACTCATTCACTATATTGCAAGTTTTCTGAAGTATAAGTGTGAGTAATATGCAGTTATACAGGTTTGGAAAGAGAGTGAGTAAATGATGACAAATGTTATTTTGTTGGTGATCTGTCCCTTAAAGGCATTGCACCTGTTGCCTTACTGAAAGTGAAAAGTCCTGAGAAAAGCACGCAGGATTTTCTTTAGGTTTGGTGGAAGAGACGGATGGTAGAGTAAGCTGTCTGTGCACAATGATTGACGAGACCATTTTTGGCGCCATCTTTCCCCATCTTTCAGAAGGAACGCTGAGGTTAACCCTGCCTCAATGTGAGGTCCATTTATCAGCTTGCTTTTAATTGCAAACAGCGGGTGATCCTCAGGGCTGCTTTACTTGCTGATCAAGCTGATATTGTAATTGAATGACCTTTAACCCACCACATCCTCAATGGTTTTCGTGGTGTGACCTCCACCAGTGTAACCATAATACTTTAGTAACTCCATTAGAAAGGAATGCCGTCCGACCCCCTCACTTTACAGCTAATTCTAGTCCAGCTGTTCAACTATAAGTCTAGTTTGCTTTTAACATTTTTGTTATCACTCACTTTTAAGGTTCAGTGTTGAGGAAGTCCTCACCAAACCTGAAGGATTTAAAAAAAAAAACACTTCACTTAGTGTTGTCTAACATTGCTGAGTCATCAGAAGATTCAGATGTCCTGTTATTGGTGGATCATCAGCAATATATAATAGAATAAATATAATTTGTAATTATGTATAATTCACATAATAGTGATTTTATTAATAATGTAACATAAGTAAGATATAAAATTAAGTTTTTTTATTATTTAATATTTATTAATATTTATTAATTTATTAAGTATTAACAATTAATTAATTAGTATAAAATGTAATATATATTATGTAATATATATATATATACATCAATAAAAATGTCTGAATCTATATGTTATTTATTATAATCTATGTATTATAATTAAATGTAATTATAAATATAAAATATAATTAATATTCATACATATTCATAGTATAACTAGGGCTGTCAAACGTTTAATCGCATCCAAAATAAAAGTTTGTGTTTGCATAATATATGTGGGTGCACTGTGTATAATTAATAAATACACACACATGCATGTATATTTAAGAAAAAATATTATTTATATGTAAAACATTTATTTTTATATATAATATGAATTATATATAAATCTATATACAGTATATACATGAAAATATTTCTTAAATATATACAAGCATGTGTGTGTGTGTGTGTGTATATATATATATATATATATATATATATATATATATATATATATATATATAATTATACACCGTGCACCCACATATATTATGTAAGCACAAACTTTTATTTTGGATGCGAATAATCGCGATTAATCGTTTGACAGCCCTAATTATAACAAATATGTATATATTTTTTATATTTTATACATTATAGTGTAAACATTGGATCAAGGATGACCCATTGATGGGGAAGTGTCAGAGAGAGGGAGGACTAACCCTCACAGTATTGTCCATCCTTCCATTTGTCCATATATTCCATACATTTTCTAAAGCGCTTGTCCTATGTAGGGTCGTGGGGAGATTGAAGCCTTTTCCAGTGTCTCGGGATGGGTCCATCACACACATGTATATTCACACTCACACCTATGGGCAAACTTACTGGGGTAAACCCAGAGGAAACCAACCCCAACACGGAGAGAACATGCAAACTCCACAGAAATTCCTCCTGACACAGCTCCAATTCGGCTCTCACGTCATTATATTGACATAGTGTTGATGTTTTGTTGTTTGATGCTTGTTGGGGATTGGAGAAAAACCTGTAATCAGCTGTCATTCAGTATTTACTGAACTGATAGTGTTGTTTATCTTATCTCTTGTTGAGAGTGAACCGGTCGCTTTGATCGGTTTATGCTTTGGTTTGTCTACTAAACTCCACGGGGGAGACTCTCAAAACTCAACATTCGTCGACAGGCTCTTTCTCTGTCCCTGTAAGTCCCCTTTCTCTCTGGAGGTTGTTTTGCAGGTTTGCCAAGTCCAGCTGAGCATGTTTTCAAGTGACTGAAAAGAATGAATTATGCAGCAGTAAGCATGCTTACAGCTGGCCGTTTGGAGAGTCTTTGATCTGAGAGCGGAGTGTGCATGAATGCCCGCATTGTGAGTGTAGAGAGTGTGTGTGTGCGTGTGTGTGTGCGTGTGTACATGAATGTTTGTGTTTGGAAGAATAGGGAGGCCCAGGTCTGGGTTAGAAGAGATTACACTGCAAGCACATTGGGTAAAGGCTAGCTGGAGAAAAATACCCTGACTGACAGTCAGATATTGTCCTTAAAGGAATAGTTTGCCCCCCCCCCAAAAAATGAAGCTATTTACTTACCTTCATGTCATTCCAAACCCAAATGGCATCTGTCTTCCGTAAAACACAAAAGGAGATGTTTTGAAGAAGGTTCACGTGGCTCTTTTCCATACAGTGGGAAAAAAGATCCATGTTTGGGTCAAAAAAGGACTTACCCAACTGTTGGTTTTAACATTTTTATTTAAACCTTTAAAGCAACGATTGGGTTTGATATTTGACCCAACCTTGTGTTGAAACAACCCAGCAATTTTTAGTGTATATTGTGACCAGAGGCTGTCAGACTTCAACAAGCACTATAAGCTCTATAGTTCATATTTACATTAGAGCTTCCATCACTCTAAAAAATGCTTGGTTGTTTCAACCCAAATTTGGGTCAAATATGGATAAACCCAAATGTTAAAAATGCAATTAAAAAATATACCGTTGAAAGTTGGGTTAAAATTTGAAATGACATTTTTAACCCAACATTTGGGTTTGTCCATATTTTACCCAAATTTGGGTTAAAACAACCCAGCATTGTTTAGAGTGTACCCCTTCATTTCAATTCTTCTTGAATTGAGTAGAATAGTATTGTATGAGAAATAAGTTATGCACTATATGCTTTCACCATATCATTCAAATCGCTAATTAAATGTCAATTTAGTACAATTAATTATTTTTTAAATAACTTTTTTATTTTATTTTAATTAAATTATTTTATTTCATTAATTATTTTATTTAATTATTTACAATTTTTAATAAATATTTTATTTTATTTTATTTATTTTATTTTATATGGATTTCTGTGGGTTGTATGCCGGTGACTAGCAAATGTTCAACATAGAAAAAAATAAACAATATATTGATTCTTTTTGTCTATTGAATAATATATTCGACTGCCACAATATTGTAAATTTGAAGACAATATTTATTCATTTGATGCATGCCATTAATTGAGGTTAATTAGCCTATATATAAAATAATAAATATGCAAAATTGAAATTGTATGAAAGACAGTTTGTGTTGCTGTGTAATAGTCTAATTGTTCATGTATTCGTAATTTTAATTTCATTAAAATATAAATATAGACTACATATGATTGTGTTGTCCATAAACAAGCATTTTTTTGTTTTCTCTTACAGGTCGTAATGAATTAATTGCCAGATACATCAAACTCAGAACGGGAAAAACACGGACGAGAAAGCAGGTTAGTGGAGCTGCTTCAAATTCTAAGTTCAATTCTAAATAATGCGACTGATCTATTTCCAGTAAATTCACAACAGTGACAAGCCACGCTTTGTTCATAGCTTCAACCAAACGTCTCGCTGGCTTACTGCCTTCCTTAGTTACCGAAGCGTTCTTCAGCGAGCGGACACCTGTTGCTTTGTGCTCTCAGCTCACTGCAAATCTTTACAGTTTTGCTGTAAAGTCAGTTTGACTTAAAAACTAAATTCTTAAATAGCTGATTGCATGCTTCTTCCTGGTTCCTGAACAAATGATGTGAAAGGTTGTATTAGATGTTCTGTTTGTAATTAAAGTACATGTTTTTTGTGGCTAATTGCAGGGAGCCTTTCATCTCCATGGTTACAAAATACTTCTTTTGTGTTTGTCTGTGTGTGTGTGTGTGTGTGTGTGTGTGACCAGGTCTCCAGTCATATCCAGGTTCTTGCCCGGCGGAAATCCAGAGAATTTCACTCCAAGCTAAAGGTACATCTTATGTTTGACACAGTCTTCTGTGTGTATGTGTATTCTCTCAGGCCATATCAGTACTGAACAGTGTGTGTGTGTGTGTGTGTGTGTACGGGTGCCCTGCTGTTTGGCTGTCTGTAACCTAGATTTCCTGCTTGTGACTGCCCTGCTTAGTATGCAGTCAACTGGCTAACTTCTTTTCTCCTGCATGTTTGTCCGTTTCCTTCCTGTTTCGCACAAAAGTGTGTTTGTTTTGGAAGAAACTGCATTTTGCTGGGCGTTGCGTACACACTGAAAAAATGTGCGCTAATGTGTGATATACTTGGCTTGAGCAAAGTTGTTCAAGGACAAGCACATGATTTGAAAAAGGCAGACGTGATGCTATTTAGATATAATTTATGCATGAAACAATATATGAGGAACTATCCAATCTAATCCAAGATTTACAGACGTGTCTATGCAGAGTTTCAGGTCACTGGCATTGTTAAAATATTTTTTTTAAATCATTTTATTCATTAAATGGTTAAAAAATATATTATGTATTTAGATAATGAGTTTTTCAAATAAAAAAAATTCTTTACCCAAACGGCAATTTGTTTGTTAAAAAATACATTCAGATTGTGAAATGCCTTTACTAAATTTACTAAATTTTAAATAGTAATTTAGTAAAACTTTTCTTTTTAAATCAACCATTTAAAAAAAAATATTTGACAATAAATATTTATAATTAATAGGGCTGTTAAACGATTAATCACGATTAATCGCATCCAAAATAAAAGTTTGTGTTTACATAATATATGTGGGTGCACTGTGTATAATTATTTTATATACAAATATTTATTTATATATATTTATATATTTATATATGTGTTTACATATATTTTATATATATATTAGTTTTTATATAAATACACACACATGCTTGTATATATTTAAGAAATATTTTCATGTATATACTGTATAAAGATTTATATATAATTTATATTATATATAAATATTCTATGTATAAATTATATTTTTTTCTTAAATATACATGCATGTGTGTGTATTTATATTTATATATATACACAAAATAATTATACACAGTGCACCCACATTATGTAAACACAAACTTATTTTGGATGCGATTAATCACGATTAATCATTTGACAGCCCTATTAACTAATAAAACATTTAAAAATATATATTATAAAATTATTCAAAAAATTATATATTATGTAAAATTATATATAAAATTAGATTTTCAATAAAATATTAAAACATTTTGGGAAATAAGTCTCTTATCCTCACCAAGGTTGCATTTGATCAAGAGTACAGTACAACTGTTAAATATTTTTAAAATATAAAATAACTGTTTCCTATATAATTAAATATAATTTATTCATGTGATGCAAAGCTGTATTTTCAGCATCATTACTCCAGTCTTCAGTGTCACATGATCCTTCAGAAATCATTCTAATATGCAGATTTGATGCTCAAGAAACATTTATTATATTATCAATTTTGAAAACAGTTATTTTTTGTAGCATTGATTTGAAACAGGAATCTTTGGTAGCATTATAAATGTTTTTATTGTTACTTTTGATCAATATAATGTGTCTTTGCTAAAAGATAATTATTCACTGACTGTATACAATTATATAAAAAAAAAAAAAAAAACACGCACACAAATTTTTCATTGTACTATTTACAACATAATGCATAGTGGCACGTTGGCTAATGTTGTGATCGTCTGACCTGTAAAGGAGGACTGGTCTCAGAGGATCATGCTTTTGAGCAGCTGTGGCATCTGGTGGTTAAACAGCGAATGACAGTTCAGACTCACTTGTATGAACACACTTTGACAAGTTCAAGTATGCAACGTTGTCTACTGCAGAACAATAAAGGTTAGACAGATCAATATCATTTTCATACATTGTAGACTTAAATATTGCTGACTGACCACTAATACTTAAAGTCGGCATGAAATGGAAGTTGCGATCGTCTTTTCTCCCCATTTTGATGTATATCCGCATAAAACAGTTTCTTGAAAGAAAAAAAATGCAGGACGAGATTTGATTTTGTCCATCAGGAATTGATTGGATAGTTGCAATTGGTAGATCTCATGTGATTGCCGGGTTTGTCCCGCCCTCGCGCCAGTAAACAGAAGAGATGTCACTGCAAGAGGGAGGGGTTTCATGCTGACTTTAATATGAACAAAACTAAACCTGCAGTTAATAAGGTAAAACCTCTGATTAGTCTTTAATGTTTTCGCCCTGATGCTTTTGCCTTCTTTATAAGCCTGATAGTGGACAAAAGGCGGGAATAGGATCGGTTACTCATTTGATTATACACAAGGCTCTTCTTTGAGCGTATGCACTCCAGTACTTGACCAGAATGAAAGCCCTTGATCAGACACTCGGACATGCACTCTAGCTGACAAAAACAGCTCACATTCTTCAAATGAGTAACACAAGCCACATAAAGTCAAAACTTTACCACATGGTTCATGTGCAATGCATTATGGGAGCTCAGAAACTAGTTACGAGAACATGTTGCTGGTCTTACTGTACATTCACAGTAATTCACATGATTCAGAAGCACTCTGTGCCTAATTAAATGTAGTTCCTCGCATACAGTTTACCTTGCCATTTAGTTTGAAATTTAAAGATTCACGTCTCCGTAGAGCAGTTTAAATGGTCCTTACCTACTTTTTCACGCCGTCAGGTCTTAAGACAATTTCATTTGTAGAAATGATGAGACCTTCTGTCTTTAAGTCATAAATACAGGAGCTGAATGTTCTCTGTCATGTGTGTCGTTGAAGGACCAGAGCGTGAAGAACGATGCGATCAGCAGGATGGCAGCCATGTCTTCAGCACAGATCGTCTCGGCCACGGCCATCCACAGCCGGCTGGGGCTCGCGGGACTCCCACGGGCCACCATACCTGGGTCCACAGGGGTAAGACACGCCCCAGCACACTTTAAAGCCATAAAAGAATATATCCATGCGTGTGGTTTCAGTCTAGCTCTGCAGTTCATTTGTGAATGAGTGTTACTATTGCTCCCTTTCTAGATTTGGCAGGTGCCAACAGGACAGCCTGGTTCCTCACAAGAGTAAGTATATACAACTTAAACTTAGTCAGTTACACATGGCTGAACCGTAATAAACAACTTGTTGCAAACAACAAAATGCCACGTTGTAATAATGAGCTCTTTTGTTCCTCAGCATAAAGCCGTTTTCACAGCAAAATTACCCTATCCAGACGGCCACTGCTATTGCAGGTTTGTATTAAGTATTAATTTGTAATATAATTTAGTTTATATAATATAAATAAAATATTAGGGCTGTCAAACGATTAATCGCATCCAACATAAAAGTTTGTGTTTACATATTACATATGTGGGTGCACTGTGTATAATTATTTTTTATATATATATATATAAATATATATAAATACACACACATACATGTATATTTAAGAAAAAATATTATTTATATATAAAATATTTATATAAAATATAAATTATATATAAATCTATATACATGAAAATATTTCTTAAATATATACAAGCATGTGTGTGTATTTTTATATATATATATATATATATATATATATAAAATAATTATACACAGTGCACCCTCATATATTATATAAACACTTTTATTTTGGATGCGATTAATCATTTGACAGCCCTATAAAAATTATATAACATGATATGAGAATTACATTACTTGGTTGAAGAATTGTTTATTATTAAAATTGAATTAATATGATTAATGTATAATATAATGTATTTTCTATGTAATATAAATAATTTAAAAGTATATTTACACTATTATATATTTATATATTTGCTTTAATTGTAATATTATATGTAAATATATAAATGTTGATATGTATACTATCATATAAAAACAGTGTAATTTTAATTATTTAGTCTAAGAAAATGTATTAATTAAAAAAAATCTAGTATATTTATTATAGTTAAATCACTCTTAAAGGGACAGTTCACCCAAAAACTGAAAATTCTGTCATTTAAATTTCAGTTTTGGGTGGACTATCCCTTTAATGGCTCTGGTCTTATTTCTTTAATCCATCACTGATGTGTGTGTGTATGCGTGTGTGTGTAGCTTACGAGTCCCCCACAGCGCTCACAGCTGCTGTCCCGGTGTGGCACGGGCGCTCTATCGGCACCTCTAAACTGCGGCTGGTGGAGTTCTCCTCCTTCCTGGAGCATCAGCGGGACCCAGATTCAGTGAGTAATTCACACATACCCAGAATTACTGCAGAAGAGCAGCCTTGACCTGCTTTACCAGCCTCAAAAATACTGCTGCTTTACTTCTTCAGCACTGAACATCTACATGGAAAAGTACATGCAGACCAACATCATCATCACAACAAAATCATCAAACTGCAGCTCTGCAGTTTTTATCATCTGTTAAGCATTGTAGAATGTAATAATATTATATTATATTATATTTAGAAATATATATATATATTCAGCAGAATTATTATAAAAGGGTGTTTATGATTTATAACTAAAAAAAAAAAATTCTATTTTATTCAGTATTTGTATTTTTTGTTGGTGTAACTAGTTGTTTAATGCACATGCTCAAAAGCATGATGCAACATTTCTAAAGTAAGAAATCGATAATTGAATAAAAAAATAAATATTATTTATTTACTTAAATGTATTGCTTAAATACTCTTTTCATCAGATGAGTAATATGTGAAATTTATATATTTATTTTGATTTAAGATACTTTTACCATAAATGCTACAATAGTAGTAGTATTGTATTATTTTACTCGCATATCCTTGGTGTTTAATATAATATAATATAATACTTATTATTACTTATATTTACTTATTATTTATTAAGTAATTGTGTTTACTGTAAAAAAATATTGTTGGTTTAATTAAAAAAATGAAGTAACCTGGTTGCCTTAATTTTAAGTTAATTAAAATGGAAAAATTGAGTTAATACAATGAAGGAGATTAATTTAATCAGAAACTAATTATGTTATCTGAACTACATAAATGATTTAAGTTGATTTGACGAAAGAAAAAATGTTGTGATTACAAATCATGAATTTTTTTTTTTACATTGATGAAATGAAATGCTTAATTATAATATAATATAATAGTTATAATAATTATATAATATAATATGAGAATATAAATACAGTACTACATTACTTAGTGGTAAAATTGTTTATCAAATTTATATTATTGAATCATAATATATTTGTTTCATAATATAAGAATCACCTAACTTGGTGAAAGTATTGAGTTTGCATTTAGGCTTGGATCAGCAAGCTTGTGCGATGCTTTAAAAAAATGTAAATCCACGAACAGCAGCTGCCGGCCACTTGGGTCTTATTGGAGATGGTCATGATGACCAGGGTCACATCCTGCGCTTTTCCTGATCCATTGATAATGATGGAAAACAACAGAAGCTCAAGATTGCATTTCTTAAGTCATTTTCAGCTCAAATTAAATGATATTTTCTGGTGCAGAACTGACCCTGCTTATTATGATGGTAGTTCTTCAAAAGTGTTTTTAGATCAGCTGACCGATGCTGAATGTCCTATTTACACCCTGATCTGACTGCATTCAAGACAATGAAGACAAAACCGTATGTGCAGATTAAAAGTGAGATCTGGGAAAAACTTCTTGTGACCTACAGGTTATCAAAATGTCTTGTGCCCGTGTTAAAGCAGACCTGTGTTATCTATCATGTTGGCAGCGTCTGTATGAAATGCTTGTCCCTCTGGTCTGGCGTGACAGCAGCTATCAATCATGCGTTATACGCAGAACCGGTCGTGTTCTCGATACAGTCGTCCAGCCACACAAACATTCAGTAGATCCTGAAACAGCTTCACAAATGCAATCAGAAATGCTTCATTACTGATACAAATAACATTTGGGAATAGCAATTTAACTCATTGAAAATGATAAACTAAAAAATATTGTTGCTTCGACAACAAACATTTTACAAAAAAAGGTTGTTAGTTTATATGTTGGATCGATCTAATTCGCAACTCTTTGTGCAGTACAACAAGCATCTGTTCGTGCACATCGGCCAGACGAGTTATTCGTACAACGACGCGCTTCTGGAGACGGTGGACATACGTCAAATCTACGACAAATTCCCGGAGAAGAAGGGTGGGCTGAAGGAGCTGTTTGGGAAAGGACCTCAGAACGCCTTCTTCCTGGTCAAGTTCTGGGTGAGTCAGTTTGAGCAGTCGGGCTGCGGCCTAGCGGCCTACCTGTTAGCGCATGTGCTGCGATACTCATGCTAACTATACAAATTCAGTTCAAATCATTTTCCAAACCTTTTTCCACATCTTTTTATGTTCTACTTCACTTCTCAATCCAATACAAATGTCCAGAAACACCTGTAATAGTGAGACAATTTTTTTAAACAATGGTGTCAACACCTGATAGCACACGTACATCACAGAGACGTCTATTTGATGCGTGTGTTTACATCTGGAAGACGTATTTGTTAGAGTGTTTGCTCATCTGCAATACGTCTATAGGACGTTTCCTGTCAGATCTCAAATAGATGTTTAGAAAATCTTTAAGATGTAATGATTTAGAATGAATGTTAAACTGACATCTTAAAGACGTCTAACAGATGTTCGTAAACAGCAGATGCTTTCTAGATGAAGTGATCTTTAACAGACATCTTGCAGATGTGCGTGTGCTATCCCCAGGTAGCACAAGTCTATTTGATGTGATGTTTACATCTGGAAGACGTATTTTTAAGAGTATTTTTAAAAATTATTTAGGAGACGTATTTTTAACATTTAGAAGATGTCAGTTTAACATGCATTCTAAATCACAAATTTACATCTTAAAGACATCTTCTAAATGTCTATTTGACATCTGACAGGAAACGTCCTATAGACGTTTTGCTGATGAGCAAACACTCTTAAAAATGCATCTTCCAGATGTAAACATCCCAGATATATATATTTGTGATGGCTTTTAAGAATAAATAAAAGTCTGGGTCGGTTATTTTCACTTTTGGCTCTTTTTTAATACAAATAATTTTCATATTGAAAGCCATCATTGTCAATATAAAACGTTTAAGTAGTAAATACAATGTTCATTTGTAATTTTGTACATTTTGAACTTTAATTCTAAAATAAACCTAAAAGACTGAAGGTCTGGATCTGGGATCAAATGTAAAACAATAAAAATCAGACATCAATAAAAAAGACATTTGAAAAAAATGTAAAAGTTGTGTACTCTTTTACATCAGCATTATAAGCGAGCACCAGCAGTGACCTGCACGCGCTTGAGTTGAGGCAGCTGAATCGCTTCAACACGTCTGCGTTTGATTAAAGTGCTGTGTTAAAGCCAGCAGTGGTGTGTTTAATCCCTGTGAAACACAGTGCGCTCTGTCCTTTAATACTGCTGATGCTGGGTTTGATAGGGAGCCTTTATTTGAACACCTGCTGCTCTGAGCGACAGGTGCAAGCGCATGACGGTCTCATCCTGGACACACTGAAATAAAGAACTGAAGGTTAACACTTATTACACTCTTACCTCGGACACTAGTTTTCGTTGCTGGCCAAAACATGCCAGGTTTACCTTTTAATAATGGGGGGTTTTAGGACAACTGCAGCTGAAATGAATAGAGTTATCTCTACACAATTGTGGCATAGTAAATCATGTTTTATAACCTTGAAATCTCTGAGACTGTACAAACCATTTTTTTTCTTATGTTCTTTCAAAAGCATTTGATATCTCAACGTTTTAAAATAGATTTGCAGATGTTTGATGAAAATCAGACTCTGTGATTGTAGGTGTGTGTGTGGCCTTGATAAACTTCACAGAAGGCTCTATTCACCGGTTAAAGGAGCCAAATAGTTTACTGTTGACAAAGCGGCTTTTATTTTTTTTCAGCGTCTGACAAATTACTCTTTTATTTGCCCAACTGTATGTAAAGCCTGCGGTGGAAGTGGCTTTTGTCAATGTTTTCCCTCCATCCGTCACTGAGCTGTTATCTGGTGCGTCCACAGGCCGACCTGAACTGCAACATCCAGGAGGATTCTGGGGCTTTCTACGGCGTGACCAGTCAGTACGAGAGCTCAGAGAACATGACCATTACCTGCTCCACTAAGGTCTGCTCCTTTGGGAAACAAGTGGTGGAAAAAGTTGAGGTGAGTGCTAATGAATATTATAAATAAAGGAGGAAAAAGATGTTTGTAAACGTCAAAATGTATCCTATCAAAAGTAAACTCAAAATGCACTTGTTTTTGGTCATATTATTCTATATATTTGTATTATTGTGTATATGTTTAACGGTAACACTTTACAATAAGGTACATTAGTTAATGTATTAACTAACAATGAACACATTTGTTACTGTATTTGTTAATCTTTGTTGATGTTAGTTAATAAAAATAAAGCTGTTCATTGTTTGTTCACGTTAGTTCACAGCGCATTAACTAATGTTAACAAGGTACATACATGTATATACATATACATACATACATAAATCAGTAAATCAGAACAGTAAATCCATTTTGATGAATTTGAGTAAAACTGTGTTTTCTTTAGCAAGAAAATGGGAAGATGAACATTTTCTGTTTCAAATTTTCACATAGCATTTGTAGGTTATAATAACAATAAAAAAATTAAATCCAGGTTTTGATTTTCAAAGATTTATTATAAAAACAGATTTTTTTCCCAAAATGCAATAAATCCATTAATTTTTTTTTTCAAAATGCAATTAATCAAAATAACAATTTATACACATTGAATTTGTTTTCTTGTGCATATTATAAATCCATTGCTTTAATATAACAATATTCATGAACACTTTACGGTAAGGGTACACCACCATGACTTCATGTATAAATGAATGCATGGAGGTTATCTTTGGTGGTGAGGCTATTCAGCGCTGTGCAGAGCTGTCCTTGGGCCACGGGGGTGAGTGCTTATGAGTAGTTTGGATCTGACCATGCGGTGGTCAGTCCAGCACTCAGCTCCACGCATAACACGGGTGATTGGGACATCCTTTCTGTCCTTTTGACGGACAATCACATAGTCAAGAAGATGCCAGTGTTTTGAGCAGGGATGCTGCCAGGTGGTCTTAAGCCTGTTCTTCATCTGGAAGATGGTGTTAGTAATGCCCAGCTGGTGCTCCGCAAAGAGGGAGAGGAGTCTGAGCCCGTCGTGGTTCATTTTCCCCACACCATGCTGGGCAATGACTTTGCTCCATACCAGGTGCTCCGTGCCCACTCTAGCATTGAAATCTCCCATGATTCTGAGCTTGTCTGTAGCCGGTATTTTCTGTAAGATGGCATCAAGAGCTCGGTAGAAATCCTCTTTGAGGTTGTGCTCGGCATCAAGTGTTGGAGCATATGCACTGATGAAAGTGGCGAAGCGTTCCTTTGCCAGGGGAATCAGTCTTTCATTGATGCCGATGGGGGATTCCGCAATTTAGACTTTACAGCAAAGCCAACTCCATGGTTACGGCGAGTACCTTCGGGGACACCCTTCCAGAAGAAGTGTACCCAGCACCAACCTCTGTCAGGGAGTCCTCCCCATGTAGTCTGGTCTCGCTGAGCGCTGCTATGTCGATGTTATATCTTGCGATCAGGAGTTTCGGCCAGGTCCAGCAGTGTGCGAACGTACCACGAAGCAATGCTTAACTTTTTTTCACTTTGAGTTTTCGACCGCAAAACACACATACATACATATATACATACATATACATATACATTGTTGTGTGTATATATATATAAACTGTATGAATTCATTTAATTATTGAATTAAAATCTTTTATTTCTGTGTGTCTGTTCTGGTAGACGGAGTATGCTCGGTTTGAGAACGGACGTTTCGTGTACAAGATCAGTCGGTCTCCCATGTGTGAATACATGATCAACTTCATCCATAAGCTCAAGCACCTGCCTGAGAAGTACATGATGAACAGCGTACTTGAAAACTTTACCATCCTCCTGGTATGTCATTCTGTTATCTAAATCCGCATAGTCAGTGTCACATGTGTCCTCCTCGCGTTGGCGGTTTCTAAAAGCCGGGTTTCTCGCACTGTTGCTGCAGGTGGTGACGAACAGAGACACTCAGGAGACCCTGCTGTGCATGGCCTGCGTGTTCGAGGTGTCAAACAGCGAGCACGGCGCTCAACATCACATCTACAGACTGGTCAAAGACTGAGGCTCCCGACACTAACAGCAGTCTCACACACAGAACAGTGGAGACTTTATATTCACTGAGGCTTTACACAGCTGACGTCCGCCAAGAGCGGCAAAGCCTGACGGACTAAGAAGAGCCTTTGAATGACTCGAGCTCATTTTAAGTGGCCGTGCCTCGGTCAGTCCCACCCCAGAAGGCTTTTTGTCACGTTTTTGGGTGAGGTCTGGAATGAATAATTACATTATAATTTGTTCTTCACTCGGGTTTTTGGTGTTTGTTTTTCTTTAACCTGTCGTGGGTGAAACGGTACAGTTTTGTTATTTTTGTCCGGATGTCTGTTTAACTCGGTTGATGTTTTAAACCACAAATGTGTTTTGAAAGAACGTTGCTTAGCCTATATAAAGTTGTATTGTCATAGTACATGGAAGCTTTTTTTCCTGTTGTTCAGCCTTTTATTCTCACATTGAACTACATTTCAAAGGCTTAATTTGCCCCTGGTATTTGTTTTTGTTTTGTTTGTTTTTTCACATTGAGTGGATTTAACTTTAATGAAAGAGCATAAAAAGGTACTGTATTATTTATGTGGAACTACCTGCCTTACACTGCACATGGGCTGTTCCAGGACTGAAACACTAAGAAACAAATCATTTTCTTCATAGAAAACAACAGAAGGCAAATACAAACCTTAATCAGTGTAGTTTATTTGTGAATTTGCATTTAAAACCCAAGTATGTAACTT